AGTTAAACCAATTTAAACATCTAATGTCAGCTCAGCAGCTCAGAAACTGAGCCCAAGTTTTAATAAAATCGAAGCAAAGAAAGGATGCCAGGTGTCTAGATCAAGCAGATAGGCAGGTTTAAAAGACTGAGCGCCTGGGGACATTTAAATTTGAATATTTCAAGTATTTATGTAATATTTCAAGGTCTACTACAAGTGCCTGTATTTTACTGCTGAAGTTTTTTGTGTATTTTGAATAAACAATGGCCAGTTGGTTTATAATTCAACATTAATTCAAACTGAAATAATAACTCTTTTCTCTGGCCCACCGATTTGTCGAGATTTTTAATATGGCCCCTTTAGTGGTTGAGTTTGACACCCCTGCTTTAGAGTACAGGCCTTTCAGTAGCCCATCCCAGTATATTCAAGTCATTTTGTCAGTTATATTACCAGTATTTGGCAATATAATCATGAATGTATCTCAGCTGTCAGCCCCTCAGTTTAAAGGTAATGATGCGTTCTGGGCTGATTCTTGGCCCCACTTATCTAGACAATGGACAACATTGTATGGCCCATACAAGAAACATATTAATATCTATAGAATTCTATTGTGTGCTCTCATATGTGTGAATATATGAAGTATTTTACAATGGTTTCGAAAGTGGCTCAGCCAATCGGATTTCAGAACCGGAACCAGTGTTATCATTGATATTATGCTGAGTCGTGTCCTTGATTTTGGGTTTGCTCGTTAACGATCAATCGCCAACTAATGACAGTCGATTGTAGATCAAAAGAATTTGCCAAAATTTGCATCCTGGCTACAAAGAGACCACTGGAATCACGTTACTTAACCAGTGAATTTTCATCAGTGTGTGTTGTGAGAACGCCTGCTATAGGGCAAACAGAGGGTTAGCGTTTGCAGACTTTTGAGTCGAGAAGCCATGAGTCACTTTCTGTTTACAAGGAGCGCCGAAAACGGACTCTCTTTAAACAACAAACATTCGTTTCCCTACAAAACACCAATAAACACATCAACATGAACATCTAACAGCTACAAAAACAGAAGCTTCACAAACACGCTCATGCAGTCTTCAAGAAAGTAGTTCATTAGACACTTATTCAAACTGTAGGCTCTCTCTCTCTTCCCTCTCTCTCTCTCTCTCGCTCAAGACTAGAAGGAAGCGGATCACACACGCAGCAGCACAAAGAGAAGGGCCAGGCCGGGGATGTGGCGTGCAGGCTGGCAGGCGTGGAGCAGAGGCGTCTTTGATTGGGGTAATTAAAAAAGAAAAAAAAAAAAAAACAAAACAAAAGAGCAGTTTTATGGAGCGCCCGCTATCTGGAGAGTCGCTCATTAGCCCAGCAGGGTAATTAGCAAGATGCCGCAGTCCTCGTTAAGGAGAAGTCATAATCGTAAACAAACGGCGGTGAACTCCTGCCGCCGTCCCTTCTGTAATGAACTGCCACTGATCTCCAAATGAAAGGAGCACAAAGACACAGACACACATACACTCACTGGGCTGGATTAATGGGGTTCAGGTCTCAATATAAAGAAAAACAGCATCCCATAATGCCTCTTATCTCTGGTCTTTCATCCAATAAAATCTTTAATTGTGCCAAACTTGCATGCTGGATGGCCCTTGAATAGCTTCTAGAGATGAGCAACTGACCACTCAGAGGGAGTGCAAGTGGCACACCTTCACTCAAATCCAATTAAGAATGCACGTGGTACAAATACAGTGGGGTCGTCGAAAGTCTGAGAGCACTGGTTCTAATTTGCACTCCTTTCTAAGTTAGTACAAAGTCTTTCATCATAATTAATGATACTAACATCGTAACAGTTTGAGTGGAAAGTAGAATCTTTGACATTTTAACATGAATTTCAGAATTTGGTGGCGTGTCCCCCTTTTGCTTCAGTGACAGTGAGAGCGCAAGCTCGCCTGGACTTCATAAGTACGTGCAAAAGCCTCTGATCAGTACATCAAATCCACCTCAGAGGTGCTGAAGAAGAGCTTCAGTGAAAGAGATAAGAAGAAAAAAACTGACCTTTTTGTACAAACAACCTGGTCAATTTCACAAATTTGCTTCAAACTGAACAGTGACATTTAATTTGGAATATATATCAATATTGTATCCCCTGTGAAACCTGCACGTCATTTATCTACCTCAGACTGACAAACTGCATATATGGCAATGTGAACAACTGTACATATCATAGCTTATATTTCATAACCTATATTACTGTTACAAAAACTGTACACTGAAAATGGTTCAATACTGGTGTATATTAATGTGTATATTGTGTATGTGTACATATTTATTTTTCTCTTATATTTTTTGTATATTTAAGTACTACAAGGGGGCTACGCACATAAGATTTTCACCCACCTTCATAGCTGTGTAAATGTGATGGGACAATAAACGTGATTTGATTTGATTTGACATAGAAACAGTGCAGATTTTTCAGATTTCTTCAATTTAATTGTCTTTTTGTTGTTTATTTCCAGGTCTAAATAATAAAATTACCAGATTTTCAGTGTGGTTTCAGACTTTAAAGGTTGAAAAACAGTTCCATTACACCTGTTTCACAAATACTACCTCTGAGTGTGACATGAGCGATGAGCACATGGACTGGCCATTCATACATACAGACAGTGCTTGAACTTCGGAGCGGTATTTGGGGGATTTTAGAGGGGGATACCCTTGTTACAGAGCTTGAATTGGCCTGAAATTTTGGTCCAAATCCAAATACAGTCCAAGAATTTTCCCACCCACAGCTTCATGTTTTGAGTCTGTTTTTGGTGCTGGATTTCAGCAAAATCCAACACTAAGAAGGCAGAGAAATATTTGAAATATCTGTTCAGGACCTGGGGTCTGCATTTACTTAAATATGGCATTTTTCTGCACATTTTAGTGCTCAATTTCTACTTATCTGCTGAATTTGACATATTGGAAAAATGTTAAATATAAACTGTTAAAAAAGTAATTAGTAACTAAATATGGATGCCTGAAGTGGCCCATCATCACCATGGTGGGTAGTAACTAGTCACATTTACTGAAGTGCAAATACTGAAGGATTTGTACACTACTGTGTATTTCTGAGTCATAATACTTTTACATTTACTTAAAAATATTAGATTTCAAAGGAATCTACTCTTTACTCAGTTACATTTTAGGCGCTCATATTTAGTTACTAATTCTTTTTTTTCATTGCTTATATTTAACATTTTTCCATTATGTTAAATTCAGCAAATAAACAGAAATTGTGCACTAAAACGTACAAAAAAAGCCGTATTTAAGTAAATGTAGACCCCAGGTCCTGGACGAATATTTCAAATATTTCTCTACCTTGTTAGTGGTGGATTTTGCAGCAATCCAGCACCAAAACAACTTTCACAAGTCGTTTCCAAACATATATTCTCATTACGAGCTCACGACTGTCCCAGCGAGACTACACAGGAACAACCTGAACTGAAAGATGATTACCAAACCAAAATGGAAGGAAAACGAATGGAACAACACAGTTTGCAGCTGACAGTTGCAGCAGGATTCATCTGCTCACATTTTACAGTCACCACAAGTAACCTTGGCCAGCAATCATATTCCTGACAGACATATCATGTTAGACAGTAGGAGAAACGAGAAAAGAGTCTGTGTGTGTTAAGGCCAGCAGCAAGGTGAGCGTAGCAGCAGCTCTCACTTCCCAATGGTTAAAAAGAGCGACTGTCTCCATGGCGATGAAAGTGCCACTTCCTGTGCCAGAGGAAATGGCCCAGGGGGAGACAGACAGCTGACAGCTGGTCTCCGCAGAGATGAGCTGCGTATTATATAACCAGCAGTTAACTGTCGATTCCAGGTTAGCCAGGATCAAACAATCTCGGTTCCAATTTTGAACCGCTGAGATAAGTGTTCCGATGGCCTTCGCCAGCTCCCTCACACGCAGTTACAATGAGGTGACATGGGGAAATACATTTAGTTATTCAGCTGACGCTTCCACCCCACGAGACTAGCTCGCCAACCTCGGTGCAGACCCCACAGGCTCATGTGCGGTAAAGTGACTTTCCAAGGGGGCCCAATGACGGTGGGCATCATTTAGGATCAAACCTATGACCTGCTGAGTCACTGAGAAGTTCACTGTTCGCTGTTGGGCTTCTATCAATTCACCAACACTGAACGTGTTTGGATTGTGAGACACCGAAAGCGCAACCAACTTCTAAGACTGAACTTTGAAGATGCGGAAAAATATCCCTGCAGATTTTACTGAGAAACTGAAAACGAGTCTCCTGAAAAGACTGGAAGCTGTAATAAAGGCTAAGGTGGATTATATTTAGTTGATCTGCATGCACTCTTAAAAATGATGGTTCTAGAGTTCTTTGGTAAAGACAATGGTTCTGCGTAGAGCCGTGAACACTCAAAGAACCCTTTGCATGATTAAAGGTTTCTTTGCATTGTTGAATAGTTCTTCAGATTGACAGAGAATGTGCTGTAGATGGTTATATAGAGCACCAAAAAGGCTTCTTGTGTTGTTACAACGTCAAACGTCACCATTTTTGGTGCTGTAAAGAACACTTTTCAAAAAGCTTCTATACAGAACCATATAAAACACATTCTCCATCAATCTAAAGAACCCTGTCATGATGCAAAGAACCTTTTAATCACGTGAAAGGTTCTTTGATAGTTCTATATAGAACCATGAACACTCCAAGAACCCTTGAAGAACCATCTTTATTAAGTGCATATTGTACTGTTAAATATAGGCTTTCTGAAAATGAAATGAATAACTTGTATTTATTGGCAGTTCTGACTGGAAATTAAATAAATAAATAATGGGCCGTTTCTTCTACACAGTACTGTACTGCAGAAATCGATTGGACAGTCCTAACAGCCAGAAGAAGACAGGTTTGGTTCCCCTTTCCTCCACGTGTCTATTAAATTTCACTATGAGCTTTAAATATAATTTATACAGATGACAAGATTTCTACACTTAACCAGCAAGCCAGAAGAAAAGGGAATGAATTTACCTGAAGCAGAGGTCTCTGAACACCCAGGTTCTTCATGGTGTCGGCACTGGCCAGGATCTTGAGGGGGTCAGCCACTTTAGTAACAGCCTCGATCTCCTTATTGGTCTCGGTACGCACCTGGTTGAGGAACAGGTCGTTGATGTAGTAGGTGAGGAAGGTGTGAAGCTGGCACTGCTTGCCCGGCCCCATGCTCAACTCCACCTCCTGAATAAACCTGCGCAGAGATGAGGTGGGACAGCAGTGTTAGAAGAAAGTCTGAAAATCTGATCAAATTAAGCTACTTATTTATCTGAAGAGTCTAGTACAAATGAAAAAAGACTGAAGTAGTAAATCAACAGTTTTAATTAAGCAGTTTCTGTGTTCAAGATTTTAACGGTGTTCTTGATACTGCATCTTCTAGACATCAATCACTGTGATCCTACACCATGGCCCAATCCCATGTCTTATTTTTACCTCTACCCCTTGCTTTTGAGTGTCTCCTTGACCCTTGGAAATGAGTTACAAGGGGTAGTGGTTGAAATCTTCCCTATGAAATGGGACCCTCAGATAAAAAGAGCATTACTTTATTAACAGCTACTAGCGCTGCTCTGTAGGCGACCCTGCCAGTCTGCAGTGACAGCAGAGGAGGGTAAAGTTCAGCTCCTCACTGCTGGGCTTTAGTTACATTTAGGGCATCGTATGACTTCAAAGAGGGGGGCAATTATTTATTATCACCCGCCTCTAATTCTTCAGTGATATGAAGCTGAAGTCAGATATTCACCAGTTTCTCGTTTGAATTTTCCCGTTCCACCTTTAATTTTTACGGTTGAACAGGAAATTTAGCTACCTAGCTACTGAGACCTCAGCATCCTACTAGCAATTTTTAAAGCTTGTTATGAAGAAAAGGACCATAATACACTGAAATGACATTAAACTTAGGTAATACAGTGATTATTATATTTTTTTAATTAAATATTATTATTTAAATATTATTTTTCTGTTTTTTCTTCTTTTCTTATAAAACTCTGTTTGGAGTTTGCCTCCGAAAAACCTCTGTTTGGAGGGCCATGTAGCCCTAACACTTCACCCTACCCCTCTATCTCAACAAAAATCGGGACGCCCTACCCCTAGACGTGAACATGCAAAACTAAGTAGACGAGGGGTGGAATGGGATTCGGCCTTAATACTGAAATCAAAACTGTGAAATCATGACAACCATACAGTTCATCCAAGTCAGGCTGAAAGTACTACTAAAACTGCAGCACAACGAGCCACAAAGCAGAAAACAGTAATGTATGACTTGATTTCAGCATCAATCAAAGCCTACAGGTATATGAGCATCTGGCACAGCTGAACACAAACTGCCTGTGGGTCACGACGTGAGTGTGCAGCGGTGATTGGTTTATGACACCCCAACAGAAATACTAGTTCAGAGGTCCTGAGGCAGCACACAGAGGTAGCTGCTAAGCTGAGGGTCGAAATAATTTGTAGGGCACAGTGGACGTTCTGTATGAGATGGACTGTTCCCTATGGGCAGCAAGCGCACATTGCAGTCTCAGTTCCAGCTGTCAGGAGGTCCACTATGATATGTGGATGTGCTATAATTTCACTGTAGAATTGAATTGTCTGACTGGTAGCATGAAAGAAGCTTGACTCTGTAAATCCTGCCTCGTCACACGTCTGTTATTTAGACAGGGCCGGTTCTAGGCTACAGGAGGCCGTAGGCAAGATTGGACTTTGGAGGCTGTTTGCAGCTCCCACTCTGATCATAACATTAGCAGTAAGGTTTGCACTCTGGATGGGGTGGGCTTTATAGGTCTTATCAGATCTCTTCATATACTAAAGAGTAATTACACCCTAAAGCTGACTTTTTCATTACAAACTGAAATATGTGGCTTTGTATTAATAAATGATGTCACTTCTTTTCAAACTGTCAAAATGACATCATAGTGTGGTTCAACTCTGCTATACTCATAACAAGACGGTTCTTCAACGGTTCTTTAGTAAAGAAAACGGTTCAATAAAGAACTATGAACAATCAAAGAACCCTTTGCATTGCATAAAGGGCTCTTAGCATCATTAAAGCGTTCTTCAGATTGATGGAGAATGTGCTATAGATAGTTCTATATAGAACCTTTTTGAAAAGGTTCTGCTTTTGTTACAAGCTTAACATCATAACAACAGAAGAACCCTTTTGGGTGATACATAGAACCCTTTTCAAAAAGGTTCTAAATAAAACCATCTACAGAACATGCTGAAAAACCCTTTCATAATGCAAAGAACTTTGTTATTTGAGTGTTCGTGGTTCTTTATAGAGCCTTTTCTTTATTAAAGAACCCTTGAAGAACCATATATTTTCTAACAACTTTGTTACCTAGAGATAACAGGATAACTTGTTATCTCAAGATAACAATCCAGCAAATTCTAACTTAATTATGGCCTCTCTGGACTTCTTTAGAGTGAAGAGTCATGCATGCGTTTTATCAGCATTACTGTAATCATGTTAACAGGCTACGTTACAGTGAAGATGACAGAGACTCTGTTTGCTCTTGCGTTGTAGCGGCCACACTAGTGGCTTGTAGTAATAAGTGTTTTTAGGTCGCCTCTAAATTTACTATGCATCAATTGGAGAGATTAAGAGGCTCCCAAAAAATCCTGCTTAGGGACCCCAAAAGGACATAGCCTGCCTAACTGTAGAGGTAATCTGCTGTCCTGTCTAACATTAGAAGAAACCTATTGCAGACTATTGCAAGCACAGTTCTAACAGCCAACGAACACGATGTAAGACAGCACCACGCTAGAGGTACATGATCTGAAACACTGACAGCATCGCTCCAACGTAAGTCAATACAATGACATCCTCCTGTCACTGAACTGCAATCTTTCTCACCTTAAGCGTATGACATTTTGAAATCTTTGAGTTTCAAAGAGAACTTAGATAATATCTTGGATTGTAAAGTCACTTGAATTCATTCCAGCACAGCGAACTGCTTAAAAGAGCAACAAGGCAGAGTCATTTCAGCAACAAAAGGTGCATCAAAGTGAACAGAAATGACTGACCATAGCAGTTCTGGTCCTTCACCAGTATACAGATACATAACTAGTACACGTTCTGCTGGACCAGCCTTCAGGAAAGGTATTTAATATGATTTATCATCTTTATAAGCTTAAAAGTAGTCTATAATACAGAATGCCAGGATCAACTTGACATTAAAATTAAAAAAGTATTTTTTTGGTGGACCCCTCTAGTGGAGCACAAGGCATGAGTATATTAGGAGGTGGGGAGGTGTAGTTAAAGGGGACTGGCTGTCCCACATCAGCTGACAGTGCCCATAGATCAGCCAAGGAATGCTGATTGATCACTGTGTACATGGAGCCTTATACCTTAAACCGCCTCTCTCAGCAACGCAGCGGCCAATTAGTCAACCTGGCTGGGGGGAGCTGATCCTTATGTGTGTGTGTGACACAAACTAACACACCTAAACACCCCAGGATCTGCTGGTTTGTCCATAAAGCTATTAAGAGTAACACTTTTCCTAAAACCACAAACACTCTCCTTAACGGCCACAACTTGGGCCATCATCAAGCACATAAACGTGACATGAATAGTTTATGACCGCTCACCACTGCAGTCGCCGTCTCAATACTCTCATCAAAGGGAACATTAGCGCAGATGGGTTTGTGCAAATTGGCACATAATAATGTTTCAATAATGGTATAAAAAGCCGCCAGTGTTACAATCATTGAGAACAAATGACCATCTGGTCACAAACCCAAAGCCCTTTTTATGAGTAGGTGAGCTGAGCCCAACCAGACCTGGAGTCGGCATTCATGGTTTCAGATCTGAGCCACAGACGTCTCACTGACGGCCATAATAGAGCCCAACTGATACGTTATCAACCTAACAAACATAACAAAACACACCCAAACCAGACTTTCACATGAGGACAATGTCATAAAAAAAATTCAATTAACATTATTGAAAAAATTAGTTAGTTAACAAACAACAAAGCTGCTGAGAATTCTGGGAATCTGCAGTTAGCTGTAGATGAAGCACCAAAATTATAATATTACAATGTTTGAAGACATTTTTACACATATGTGGGTGGCTCTGCAACTACAGACGAAATGTCTCTGCTACAGCAGAGCGTAGTGGTAAGAATTTTTTTCACTGTTTTTGAGTACAAAGACAGCAAAACAGGCATATTACATTAGCTTTGGCAGACAACTTCTAAAATATTTGAGTTTAACATTAATATGAATTGTGTAAGTCATATTTAAAACACAATGGTCATAAATACTACAACAAGGACAAGCAGAACATATTAAAAACAAAAAGATGATATTTTCTTTGCTGTTCTGTAAATCTAGAGACACCAAGACCGGCATTTTAAAGCAAAATGTCCTTCATATATTACACTATATATATATATATATATATCGCTGCTGTCAGAACAAAACCTCGTATCTCCAAAATGGTAACTTTACAGGAGAACGAAAAAACCTACTTCATTTTTAATGTAAGTCAATGGAACCAGACTTTTTTCAGAGTAATTCTGGGATGTTTCTTTTGATCCATTCATCATGAAATATACACACAATGTAAAGGCCTGAGCAAACAACAAACCCTGAGTGAACACAACTCTATTTATAATGAAACACTACAGTTCTTTAATGTTTACGTACTAACTATAACCACGATACGCACAGAAAAGCATACTGTGATGTAAATTATCATGATTCCAATAAAATATTGTCATATTGCCCACCTCTAGTCAGGCCCGTGACACAGTCCTGTTCGGCCCGCGAAATGATTTTAATTTTCTATTCTTATTACCCATTTGACCATGAGATGCACTACAGTCCCCAGCATGCACTGCAACATAGTGTGTGTTCTGACCCCCTTCCTCCAACAACAGTCTATGGGTCAGCGGTTACACAAAAAAAAGATTTACGGTGTCTAATTCAGGCAGTTTAAAAAATACCCAAAACAATTTATTTTTATTTAGAAGTATTTATTAGTATTTAGTATTTAGTATTCAGTGCCTATTTTGCTGTTGCAATTTGGACATATTTTGAATAAACAATGACCCATCCGGGTCATGGCAAAATGTTAAGTAATAATGAAATAAAAACGCAGCCGGCCCACAGATTTGCTGAGATTTTTTAATATGGCCCTTTTAGTGGTTGAGTTTGACACCCCTGGTCAAGACTGTGAGTCCAGTTCACAGTGAT